CCCTTAAATCCACACGGAACCCATTTCTCTCACTAATGTCTGGACTTAAGTTCCTCCGCTCTGCTCCGGAAATAAATAAGAATAAACCTGATTCTTTGATTATTTTTACATTAATTTTATATGATCATCTTTTAATCAAACTAATTGTCATCATTTATGATTTTACATTTTATTATGCAATTGTTTTGACATATTTTATTCTAAACATTAAAAAATATCATTGGCGACTTTAGAATTCTTATAAAAAGCAGCTATAATGCAAATCACATTTCACAACTATCAAACTCATCAATAGATCCTATTTAAGTCTATAGATGTAGTTATGTAAATGGCGCTGGAAGTCTAAAATCGACAATCTGGAAATGTTTCGTGATTGGCCAATACAATTAATGCACTTTGGTATTCTGCGCTAGGCTAATTATGAAATTTGCTAAAAACCACACGTGAATTTATTTTATTACGTATTATTATTATTTAATGCCAAACGAAATGTACTGCAAGTAAAGTTAACATTTTGACCTTGCAATATTTAATTCTAATAATGTCATTATTTAGATGAAACTTATCAAATACATAAAATGTTACAAGTTTCTTTGCTCGCATCACTAACATATAAAATTGTTCCCATAGCGAAGTCACGGGTAAATAAGCTAGTAAATTAATATTACGTTAATCGTTTGGTTTTTCCAATATTATTTTGACGTGGCACCATTTTATCTTTTATTGACCCATTATTTCGATGACCTAACTGTTCTTCAGATGTCATTAGAAGATAATCTTTTCCTTGTATCATTCATTTCTTACAGCCTTGTGTTCGCATATACCGTAATTCCTTTACGCCTCGCATTTTAGAAGACTTTAGTATAAGTATGCATACCTATTTTCAGAAATCACCCGGCCAATAAGTTAATATACAATAAAAAAAAAATAAATAGAAAATATAATGCACGGAAATAGAATGGTCCCCAAAATAGGATATCTTGTATGCATAATATGCATACCCATTGTTAGAAATTCATCTTTATTTCCGTGGATTGTTTTTACCATTATCGTGTTAGTCAATTAATTAACTTATATATAAAATAAGTTAGTTAAAAGGCGTTTCACTTTCTTCATACAAAAAATTAATTATAATCCACGAGAACTAGAGTTTTTAACGCGGTTTAATCAGTTTTAACATATAAAAATAAAACCCGGCTACGCGGGGATCCCCGAAATAGGTATGCATGCATACACCAGCCGATTATTGTTAATTTCATCTACGAAGAATCAATATACAGTATGTGCGTATGTAAAAGCTTTTCACCTTATTTAGTAGGTATTATATAATGATAATGATAATTAATGTACTACGTATACGTATTACGTATAATTAACTAAAACGAGCTAAATTTGATATAGTAATAATGAAAGAAAATTTTACGTACTGTTCTACATTCCTTATCTGTTATACGTAGGGACTGCATCGTGCAGCGTATAATTGGAATCTATGCTGAACAGTTAATATATGATCTGGTATACGCACAAAATATGCTATCAAAATACTACGTCAAGATACCATCATAGATACCTTTATGTGAGTGGCACTGGTTTCATTGAAGTTTCAGAATTAACAGAATAGGTGAATTTGCCATGGCAAATTCATCAGTTTTTACGTATATAATCTAGCTTTCTATAATTGGGTTAGGCGTTTTTTCTGTTATGGTTTATCTACCTCAACAAACCAATTAAAAGCCGGATTTGTGATTTGAATTTCGAAATAAGAAAATTTAAATCTTGTTTTAATGGGGGTTTCCAAATTAAAAAATAAGTGGCGCATTTCGAAAATATGTAGGATACACGTAAGTAATAGCGTTTTTACTATGTTATTTAAATTATAAATCGGAAATTAATTTTGAAACCTCCCAATTGTAAGTAATAACAGATATCTATATGTAATTTAAAACTTAATTGATAAAAATGCGATCGCATAAATCAGAGTATTCAAAGCAAAAAATAACAAAAAAAAAACAAAAAAGCAAAATAACGTCACCTGTTTAACTGAATCAGGTTCTCACAGGTAACTTTGAAACCACATGATTTTCTAGTTAAGACTTACCGTAGATTTAAATTCACTATATCGAGCTCGAAGCTCCACTATATTGGTACGTATTAATAATTGATAAACCTAAATTTATTCAATAACGATACGTTACCAAGATCAATAAGGTTATATACTTCTATTAATAGACTTTTCATTTATAGATTTTTTGATTTATGCGCCAGACACGCCCGAAAGCTATATATTCGTTATACTTGAAACTTTTGATCTATTCAATTCAAAACATCAAAATTACCGATTTTAATTTTCTTTCAAAAGAATAAACCAAAATGAAATATTTTACAATTTTTTTACTATCACTTTTATTTTGCATGGTATTATCAATACATTGTCAAAATAACGTTATTGAAAAAAAACTTAAACGAGATCAAAATAACGTTATTGAAAAAAAATTTAAACGAGATCAAAATAACATTATTGAAAGAAAACTTAGACGAGACCCTTTTCCAAAACCACAACAGGGCAAAGGTAGAGGTACGCAGGCATTTACACAGGCATTTACACAGGCACCTAAAACACCATCAAATACGGCACCTTTACAACCAAATTCTTTACAGACATCCCAACCAACTGGAACTGACGCCGTACCTTCTCCAACAATACCAACGATACTACCTGTCATTAACAACATTGGTATAAAATCATCAGCTGTGAACTATAATTATTTGGGATTGGCATTAATTCTTGGATTCACGTTATACATACTGTATTGTTAGATTTGCAAAGGCCATAATAGCTAGGGCCGGATCCAATTTTTTAGATTTAGCATATAAAAGATCCATATAAATAATCATTATGCCACTGCTAATATTAAAATATTTGCGGTACTAGGACACTTAATCGACTTTATGCAGTATATTTGTTAATCTGTTTTTTATTATAATAAATAACATAACTTTAATGCTAAAACTAAATAGGTTATAACTATATTGTTGTATTTGTCTTCGTTTATTTCTTACATAAAAATACTATAAAGAATTGAACATACATTATTTATGTAAATAAAAAAGAATCGATTGTTGATTAATTTAATAATTTTTTGCAAAATATTGAAAGGTTTAATTTAATGGTGACAAGATTCTAACCAAAACCTAATAATGCATATTTTATCTAATATAAAAAAAAAACTAAAAAAAAAAATCAATAATACAGTATATGCCGGTAATTCTGTCTAATAAGAAGTAAAAATTTAAGAAATATATTATCATGCTTTTATTTATTTATTTATTTTATTTTTTTATTAATATTATACAGTAAATGGTATATTATTAAGAAGTTTGCTATCATATTTATCACACTGGTGATCAGAAACCTACCAAATAATTAGGGTTGGAACTGTTCAAAACTTCGAAAACATTATACTAACTAGAATTTAAACCTTTATATATGACTCCCTATCTTGGTCTGTAGTTTTAAATTTTAGCAAAAAACTGTATTGGTTTTGAACACCACTGATAATTTGTAGTAATTTTCTATTATTAAATTTTTACAAAATTATATACTGTATATTTGTATCAAACTACAGTGAAACCTTTATAAATGCTAAATGCACGCTCAACCTCTGGTCCAAAGATATGCAAGACCTCTATAAATGCACTTTTTCTTATTGTTCTCTAAATGCACGTTGTTAAAGTTCAGCCTCAAGAGTGTGCATTTATGGAGGTTTCACTGTATTTGGCTTTCTTTAATTACTTTAAAATGCACAAGTTTTTTATTTAACATTTTGTACGTAATAATTATGCAATTTTTTTTAACGGTCATTCTTTTTTACATGTAATTCGATCCGCATTTTTGTGGTCATGAGAATTACCTTTTTTTACCTTCCATCAATTTTTATTTTATTCATTAGAATTTGTGTTCTATTACAAGCTTACTCATCTGGGTGACCAGTGGGTCCACCCACTGGATCATCCAGGTTAGTGTCGTTGTTAGACCGTTCCAATGGGAATCACCGGAATTGGAAGGCTTATTGGAACTAACCAGATCGAATTAGAAGATATAATCGTTCCAGTGGTTAGTTTCACTAACTATTCCAGTAAATTTTTTATTAGTGGATGGAAGATCCAGTGATGTCCAGTGGTGAGAAAAAAAATATATTATTCGTACTATTGGCGGGACTGCTGACTTGGGCGAAACGGGATACAGGGATAACAACACAACCACGTAACAAGTCCAATAGTTAGAGGCGTAACAATTTGGCAAGGTAAGGCTTATCAGGCTTGTTACAGGAACGTATAGAGAACACGAGAGCAAAAAAGTTTTTGAAGCAAAGGTTACTGATTGTTTTTTATTTATTATAACAGGATCACGAACGTACATGCAACTCAAGAAAATATTAATTGCGATTTTTGATCGCTTTCCATATTTAGTTACGGTCCACTCTCATACTAACGCTAATTTATGAGAATTTTAGCGACATCTTGACACAATTAGTCGTACAACTAATTGGTTTTAAAACCTAACAAAATTCATTTTTACCCCTTACGGTATAGTATTATCGGGTGACGATCTCTTGTCCAATTTGGGGCTGTCAGAAGCTTGGCTTGTCTTTGCTTTTGCGGGCCGTTTCACCAGAACGCACACAGGGCGGTATATTTTTTTTCGATCGTGAACTGCGGTCTCACGTGTTACTACGGACTACCGATTTGCCTGTACGTACATCTTTTACATAAATCAGAATCTTTTTTCTAGAAATAAAAACACAGTTCACAAGAACATAAATACTTATTTTTAGTTTAATAGTCTTTATATTCACATTATTTTGAATGCTTGATTAATAAATGTTTTTTATGTTTATGTATTAAAAAGCTAGATTAATAAATGCTCTTTAGACTTGCATACCAAATACTATCGCGTATAGAATAAAATTCTAATAGTTTAAATATTTGGCTTAATGACCATTTTTTACTATATGCTCAAATCTAGAATAAAATTAAATAGGAAACATTTATAAATTTGATTAATTTTAAATGCTTAGATATTCCTTTTCTCATGGACTAAAAAAAAATTTTATTAAAAAAATCTTGACGGTTGGGTAATTGCAAAATTGAACTAACGACATATCGATATTTTTAATTTTTAACTTGCCACTATTTTTAACCAATTAAATGTTTTGGAATAAACCTATTGTAACAGCAAAGTAATTTATTAGACTATTCATGCATTTTCACTGAATAATATAATGCATTTTCCAGTGAAAAAATCGATCCAGTGGAACTTTTTACTGGAATCACTTGGAACATTGGAAAATCTGGACGTTCAGTGAGGTTCCAGTTTCCAGTTCAACAAAACTGATCCAGGCTTGGTTTTTCAGTTGGGTTCAGTACCAAAGAACCTTAAGCTACGATCTAGACTACCAACTACCAAGAACTTGGCTAATTCTCCAAATTTCATATCCGTAACATCTCCGTTATTCTCAGAAATAACCGCAAGTTGATTCCAAGTTTTAGATTGATAAATTCTAAGAGAATATAAAATACAAATTAATGATACTATCGTTTAAATTAGACGAAAAAACAGTGACCAACAAATACAAACCTCACGTCAGTTCCACCAACAGCCAAATAATGTCCACTGTAGTCCCAGACAACCTTATTAATCTTTCCCTCATCAATAGTCAGAGTATGAAAATTCGATAATTTCCTAAGATCCCATAATTTTACCAGATTATCTTCAGATGCAGTTGCTAAGAAATAACCATTTTCCGAGAAAGAAATTGATGTAACACGGCCAGTATGACCTGTAAAAGATGCAACATTTTGTTGTGATTTGACATCCCAAATGCGAACAACGGAATCGTATGTTCCTGTTCCTAGGATGAGACCATCTGGGTGAAATTCAACTGTCGAATATCCTATATTTAAAAATTAGAGATTGTCCCTAATTATAAAGTTCGTAAAATTCGAGCATGAACAAAAAATAAATAAATTCAATAATATACCATCTTTTACTTCATTACTTTCAACCGTCACTAAAGTTTGAACCGTTTCTATATCATGAAATGCCCATGTCGAATCATGTGACACTGACACTAGATAATCTTTCGTGGCATGTACGGCAATACCGGTGACCTCACTGGAATGTGCTGAAATTATACTTTCCGTTTTGTATCCTAATATTGATTAAGCGCAAAGAGAGTGTTATAAGAATCAGAATACCAACGTAACATCTCAGTAATTACGTACCCTTTGTAGCAGGTTTCCAAATTCTGATAGTCTTATCCGCACTTGAGGTGAACACAGTGTCCCCTTGATCAGAATCGGTTCTTCCCATCCATAACACATTGGTAACCTTCTTAGTATGACCTTTCAACGCGCACTCAACTTTATTTTTATCTCTGTTAAATATTTGTGCTTTCTTATCGTTTCCTCCAGTAAGGATAAGTTTTTCTGTATGGTCAAGATCTATACAAGTTATTCCTGGATTAGACGTAGTATGTAGAGATGGAACAACTGATATTTGGTTAAACTCTTTGATTGTGTCTGCAGGAGTGAGATTAGGCGGTGCTTTTCTTTTTTTACGCGCTTTCGATAAACTTAATTGATGAAATATTAATGAATTTCTCATTGCATTACGAATATATTTATATATTCAAATAATTTGACATACTTCGCACTGGTTTCGTTTAATTTTTCTATAACTGCATCATTTATACCCTTTTTCTCCTCTTCTACTTCCATTGCGTTTGCTTCTGATACAGCTGCGTCTGAAGGAGGTTGTACAGCAATATGTGCTTGAACATTTGCTAATGCCCTAATAAAATAGTTAATGTTTAGATTCTAATCACTACATACAAAGGCGTTCATGCACATAGATGGTAATAATCACAAAAATTACTCTCTAGCAGCATCTCTTTCTTTCATTAATCTAGCAATGACTCTGCATGCAGCATCATATTGGTATAACGCGTGACTCAGTTCTTGACGAACTTGTTGATATTGTTGTTTAAGAGTGAAAGTCTCCAACATTAAACTATCCCACTCATTTTGAAAAACAGCTAATAAAGATGGGATCGACGTCAAAGTAGCTGGTCGAGGCTTTACTGTTTTTGGACCTGATTATATACCAATCGATCATAGCGTAATATTAATAAATTTGTCAATTTAAAAATTTTAACAAACTATGTTTAAGGTTCAGATAGTGTATTCTAATCAAATATAATCAGAAACAGCTTCTAGTTGATTTCCTTTAATCATCCTTAACCAATCATTAAGGTAAATTTTATTCATACATACTTGCTTTTATTTCTAGTAAGTCTTCCTCCGTGAGATCCTGTCCATCTATAGGATCTTTTCCGTGATCAGCAATGTATTTCACTATCAATTTCTTTTCATATACATGGCCATTTCTTTTGGAGATTACTGGCTCTTGAGGCGGTTCACCAGAAACTAAATATGGAAGGTTCAAGGTTCAACTGATTAGCAACTGAAGTTAAGATTTAAAGGAACTTTAGCGAAAGTTACTTACGACTACAAAACATAGCGTATTTTTTGTAAATTTTTTTTTTTGCAGAAATCAACAACCTAAATCATTACTGGTGATCAAATCGAATATGATTGGTCAGTCAAAAATAATTTCTATGCAAAGGAGGAAACGTCCAAATATAGGGGACGTCTAAAGCGGAGTAGATTCTTATATATATATTTTATCGAATTAACTTTAGGGTTATGGTCATCTTGGATT